GTAGCGGAAAACTAAGCGTTCAAAGTCTGGCTTTTGGTAAAGTTTTGATTAATTTCTTTGTTTTCATTTCCCCATTTGAAAAATGGAGAAAACAGTTTCTAGCAGTATCTTATGAGATTGTTCTCAACATTTAACAAGGGCTGAAAAGAACACTGGTTTTTGATGCTCTGAAATTGTAACACTTGATGGTAACTGTCTTCTAGAATCGGGGAAGGAGCAAAGAAAAGGTAGTGCAAGCAGCTCTCGCTCATTTTATCTGTGATGCCTCCATAGTCCTTTCATTGACTATATACCATGCTTTGTGGATTCTAAGAGACATTTCTCAGTTTTATTCAGCCTCTATTTTCTTAAACATGACCAAGAACTGGAAAATAAGCAAAAAGGTTTCTTATGCTTCTTATCACTCTTGTAGACCTCATGAAGTAAAGGCCAGGTACTTTATTTTTTTATTTTTATTTTTTTTGAGACAGAGTCTCACTATGTTGCCCTCAGTAGAGTGCTGTGGTGTCACAGCTCATAGTAACCTCAAACTCTTGGGCTTCAGCGATTCTCTTGCCTCAACCTCTCAAGTAGCTGGGACTACAGGTGCCCGCCCCCATGCCCAGCTATTTTTTGTTGCACTTGTCCTTGTTGTTTAGCAGGCCCAGACTAGATTCGAACCCGCCAGCCTCGGTGTATGTGGCTGGAACTGTAACTACTGTGCTATGGGTGCTGAGCCTTTATTTGTTAAATTTTGACTAAAGAATATTTGATTTTGGTTAATTGTCCTTTCTTATGGCTTAAGGGAGTCATTAGAACATACCTTGGAACCTCTATAAGTTGACCACCCAAGGGACTGTGACACACTGGTCAACACACGGAGGTGGTCAACAGAAGGACCTAGGCCTGTGTGTGGACAGGTACATGTGGTGCATGTCCAGTCTGTGAGAATTAGGTCGACTTAAGGAGGAGGTGGTTGGCTGCAGAGGTTCTACTGTATTTTGCCCTTAAAGTATCAGGGAAAAAACCCTTTTGTGAGAGGTACCAGTTAGTCATCTGAAGTAGCATTTGGTTCTCTAATCCACTGATCTCCAGGCCCTGATAATTCTACTTATTTTACTGAACGGCACCAGGCTGCCACTTTGTAGGTTTTAGGGCTAAGGACTAGGCCTGGGTGGTAGGAAGGTGTGAGGAAAGAACAGGGGAGAAGAACTTTGGGAGCAGACGCGCTGTGGTCCTGCAGTATCTCTGCAAGTCTCAGCAGGGGTTCATGCACCCAGTCCCCCTGCATTCTTGTTTGGAGTGAACCCAGTCTGTGTATCTCTATAACTTCTTAGCATTGGGAGCTTTTCAGGCATGAATTCTGAGCTTACTTTGCTGGCCTGGGCACCTTCAGCCTTTGCTTGGCTGTGCAGCTCTGCGTGGTGGCCCATCTCCAGCACCTCACTACTGAGGAGCTGCCAACTCACAGCCTCCTGGCACTTCTCTGGGCCTCCGTGCTCTTCATGGTCTGCCCTGACCTGTTTTGTGTATAGTCTGCCTTTGGGCTCTGCTTAGGCATTTACAGCTTTTCTTTCTAAAGAAACCTTTAATAAGTATTGATTATTCTTTAGTTAATAATGACAACTTTAACAAAAAATAGTTGGGCGTTGTGGTAAGCGCCTATAGTCTCAGCTACTTGGGAGGCTGAGGCAAGAGTATTGCTTGAGCCCAAGAGTCAGAGCTGTGACACCACGACACTCTACCCAGGGTGACACAGTGAGACTCTGTCTCTTAAAGGAAAAAATTATTGATTCTAAAAGCAGTTTGCACAATATAGAAAATATACCACCAGACGAATCAGCATTAACATGTTAGTGTGTGTTGAGTCTCTTCCCCGGTGTTTTGTGTATTTTATGTAGGGGTATGGGTGAGAAAAATAAATGTATAATGCAAATCCCCCCAGACTTACCATGGGGCATGAAGAGCAACTTTTAAAATAATTTTTTTCTTAGGATAATTTTGGAATGGCAAAACAGTTGCAAAGGCAGTACAAGGATTCCACTATGCCCTGCACCTATCCTCCCCTGATGTTACCATCTTTCTTAGCCAGAGTACACTTGTCAAAACTACAAAGTGAACGCTGGCGGAAGGAACACTGTTAACTAAACCACAGTCTGTTTGGATTTTATCAGGGTGACTGGATAGAGCAAGCACTTGATTAGTCGGGTGTTTGAGTCAGATGAATTGTTTTGTGCTAGATTGTAGCCATAGTTTTCAATGCATTGCTTTAAAAGTAGAAAATAAACAAGCAAATGTAGTTTCTTTTGCAATTATGTTTAAAAGCATTTTAGATTGATTTAAATGTGGTAACTGGGCCAGGTGGCACAATTAAATTTAAGTGGGGGAAGAGGGGAGGATCGGTAAACTCTCAACTAAAGTGCACGATGTAGAAGTATACAGCACACCCCCCGGGTGAAGGGCACCACGATACCTTGAACTTTACCTAACAAATGTAAACAATGTAATCAAGCATTTTGTACCCTCATATTAATCCAAAATTAAAAAAAATAAATGCAGAAACTGGGTCAGATGGAATGGCTCATGCCTGTAATCCTAGCTCTCTGGGAGGCTGCAGCAGAAGGATCTCGAGCTCAGGAGTTTGAGACCAGCCTGAGTAAGAGCGAGACCCTGTCTCTACTAACTAAAAATAGGAAAATTAGCTGGGCATTGTGGAGAGCGTCAAGTGGAGGCAGGAGGATCAGTTGAACTCAGGAGTTTGAGGTTGCTGTGAGCTAGGCTGATGCCATGGGCCCTGGGCCCCAGAGTGAGACTCTATCAAAAAAAAAAAAAAAGCAAAAACTGATCAGCTGTTTAGGAAACAATTTGTTTGGGGGGTTATTTAGAGTTACTGGGCATTTGGCTTAGCTTATTTTGAGCAGATTGTGTTTTTGTGTACATGTATCCACCTGAGTTTGGAAGTACAGATTTACAGGAAATTCTGTTTATAGATCTCTGTATTTGGTTTTGAAAAATACCTTTATTTACTTCTCTGTTATGCATTATTAATATTTATTTAGTTCTAACTTTAGGATGTTACATAAAAAGTGAAGATAGCCAGGCACAGTTACTCATGCCTGTAATCCCAGCGCTTTTTGAAACCAAGGTGCCAAGATCACTTGAGGGCAGACAGCTGAGCAAAATATTGAGAACCCCTGTCTCTAAAAATTTTAAAAATTAGGCTACATACAGTGGCTCACCCTTGTAATCCCAGCACTCTGGGAGGACAAGGCAGGTGGATTGCTTGAGCTCACAGATTCAAGACCAGCCTGAGCAAGAGCGAGACCCCCATCTCTAAAAATATCCCGGTGTTGTGGCTATCGCCGGTAGTCCCAGCTACTTGGGCAACTGAGGCAAAAGGGACGCTTGAGCACAAGAGTTTGAGGTTGCTGTGAGCTGAGTGCCACAGCACTCTATGGAGGGCGACAAAGTGAAACTCTGTCTCAAAAAAAGACAATTTTTTTTTTTTTTAATAAGCCAGGTGTGGTGGTACATGCTTATAGACCAGGGTTTTTCAAACTTTTTTTATCTCATGGCACATTTAAATTATGTTATCAAAAAGAAAAAGTCAAAAAGAAAATACTGTGCTTTGAACTTCTTTTGAAAAAAATTTAATTAGTGATCTTTAAAATTTTTCATGGCACATTGATTGAAAATTACTATTATAGACCCAGCTACTTGGGAGCAAGAGGCAGGAGGATGGCTTTAACCCAGGAATCTGAGGTTGTGGGGATCTGGGCTGATACCATGGCACTCAGGCCTGGGCAACAGAGTGAGACCCCCCCCCCCAAAAAAAGAATAGAAGTTGTATTAATATTTTGTATTGTTCATTTTGGCCTTTTTGTTCTATTTTTAACAATAGTTAACATTTTCTCAGTATTCACCAAACACACAAAATCATTATAGTACGCTTGCAAGAATCTCCCTCTATGTATATGTATGTATATGCTTGTACTTCTTTCTGTTCCTAAAAACCAAAATGCACACTAACGGGACTTTGTCAGATTCAGTGTAAAATGGGTTTAAGGTAGGTCTGAAAGGAAGGAGAGAATGAGGTTCAGGTCGTCCTACAGTGACATTCACTGCAAATCCAGGTGCTGTGAGGGATGTTTGTGTTTATAGATGGATGCTGTGACTTGAAGGTTAGATTTTGGGCTTCACAGACAGTAAAATGCTATTAATTTTATTCTCACCAATCTTACCAACTTACTTTAAGATAAATTTTCCTTATCTATAATCTAGATTTTCTGCTTCTTTATGGAAGTATTTTGATGGGATGTTAGTGTTTTCTTTAAGATTGTAGAGTAATATGTGAACAGCCCTCAGTAGTGCAAACTGCCCCTTGGTGAGGTGGCCACGTGCCTCCTTCCCACCGTCCCTCAGGCAGAGCTGCGTTGTGACTCCAGCACCTGCCTGTGTCCTTTTAAGCTGCTGGGCTTTGCCCGTGTCCTTCCTTTTGATCTGGATTGCCCTGCCCCAAGCTCACTCCCGTGCACCTGTGAGGGCTCAGTTTGGGGACCAGCTCTCCCAGGAAGCCTTGCTGTGTCCTTTCTGTTGCTCTAGGTCGAATGTTTGGATAGCAGCAGCAGCATGTGGGCCTGCAGCTCTGGCGTGGACTCGTTTTCTTATCTATTTCCCTCACTGGACAGTAATCTCCCTAGAACCGGAATGTGTCTGTCCGTGTCCTTCTGGCAGCAGGTGCTCAGAGAACACCTTCTCAGATGCGTCAGTGTGTGCACAAGGAAGTGAATTCATTTTTTAATGCTCTCTTTAATATTGATAGTTGTTCACAAATCATTTTTATCTATTAATACCAAGTAACCTGTGTTAGCTTAATTTAAGCAGCTATGCCTGAAATTAAAAATGCCACTTTATTAATATTTTAGATTTATCCACAGAAAAATGAATTGATGGCAGTTTAAGTATACATAAGCATGTACGTAATCTTTCTTGATTATCCTGGTTTTACTTATGTTTTTCAGAGAAAACAGAAATGAGAGGAATCTGGTTTAAATTGCAGTACAAGGAATTTAGATATAAAGAGTTTCCAGAAAATAAAGTACCAGATATTGAAGTGACTTGTAAGTAATGTAAAATTTATTTTTCAAGAGTTAAAAAAGGGGGTGGATGGAGTTATCAGTTATGAAGCAGTTCATTAACATTGCTCTTAGAGTAAAAAAATCTAAAAGAAGAAAAATCTATTTAGGAATATGCAGATACAGCCATATTCACAGGTAGATGCTTAAGAATACTCACACCTTGTGGTTTTCAGCTCCCAAGGAAGCTGTGTTGGTGGCGTCCCGCTTTTCACATGATGGCTGAGGTCTGAGGAACCAGCAGGAAGCACCATGCTCTTTCCTCTTAGCTTTCTTTCTTTCTTTTTTAATTCTTGTCCCTAAGGAAAATATAAATAATAAGAATAAACAGAAAAGGAATGTGTATAAATAATAAAAGACCTACCTGGCCAGCCGTGGTGGCTCACGCCTGTAATCCCAGCGCTCTGGGAAGCTGCAGTGAGACAAGCCTTAGCAAGAGTGGGACCCATCTCTACTAAAAAGGGGAACGTTTGCCAGGGACCATGTCCACAGCTGTAGTCCCAGCTCCTTGGGAGGCTGAGACAGGAGGATCACTTGAGCCCAGTAATTCGAGGTTGCTGTGTGCTACAAATCACTCTGTTCGACCCAGGGAGACAGAGTGAGACTGTCTCAAAACAGAAACAAAACACAAACAGACCACAGACACAAGGAACATGGTTTTTGAATGCCATTCTAGTGATTGTTTTAATGTACTTAAAAATGGCGGTTAGTTGTGCCCAAAATTCAATTGTGTTGCTGTGCTTCTAACTGTAGATATTCTGTCCTGGCTGTGTTTGAACAGACCTACTGTAGTATAAGCCAACTTCACCCTCCATGGTGGTGAACTGAAAGAGCAAATATACCTTCCTAAAGCACCAAATTTATAATAACAGTTGTGAATAGAGTTCAGTGTTCCCTTTACATGTCATTCCATAAGAATCATACTGGAATAATTTAGGACAGCTTTACTAAATTTATGAATGTAACACGTGTTATGAGGATGGCGTTTAAGTTCTAGGCTCTCTTTGCTTACTGTGCAAAAAGCTCCTTTGTGATAATGGAGGCAGGATTTTACCTGTAGTCACACAGTAATGCCTTGTCTTTTGAAACAGTATGTACTTTTCTGAATGTCTTTATATCCAGAATTTATTTGGTTTACATAGCAGCTCTGTGAAGTGTCCTCAGCTTGTAAATGAGGCAGTTGAGGCACAGGAAGTTTGACTGACTGCCAAAGGCATCCAGCATCATTTTATAAAAACTTGTTGTTATCTCCATAGCTCATATTTACCAAGTGCTTACTGTATGCTAGGCACTGTCTTAAACTTTTTACATGTATTAATAAATAAGAGTTTGGGCTTTGGAGTCAGATTAGGATTTTAGTATGGCTCTTCCTCTGATCAGATATTGATCTTGGGAAAGCTACCTAACCTTTGTAAACCTTGGTTTCCTCATTTGGAACACAAACATAATGGTAGTATCTATCTCTTAGGCTGTTTGGATTAAATGAAATAATCTAAATGACTATAATGTCTGGCATGTAATAAGGACTGTGAAATTACTTTGCTGTAGAAAAATGGGGTGGTAGTGGGCAGTGATTTTTTTTAGCGTTGATTATTTTCTTTGTAAATTTTTTTTTTTGAGCAAGCATCATAGTTCATACTGTTCTATATTCCTATCGTATACAAAAACACCCACATCCACATCCAGTCTTACCACACTAAGGTGGTAGCTCTACATCAGTGGTTCCTAACCTCCCTAATGCCGCGACCTTTGATACAGTTCCTCATGTTGTGGTGACCCCTAACCATAAAATTATTTCCATATACCTATATTTGTACAGGGTGTATGTGATGGGTTTAGGCGATCCCTGTGAAAGGGGTTGTGACCCCCAGGTTGAGAACCGCTGCTCTACCTCGTGACTGTAACCACCTGTCTCTTCTTACTACCGTGTTTCCCCAAAAATAAGACACACTGTCTTATATTTATTTTTTCTCAAGAAGACACACTAGGGCTTATTTTCAGAGGATGTCTTATTTTTAGTAAGTATAATACAACAATCTACCTTTATTCAAATACAGTTAAGTCATCTTCTTCTGGAACATGACAGAGGGACTCCACATCGTTGGTGGGGCTGGCGCTAGTGATGCGTGAACTCCTTTCCCCAAGCCATTCCCACGTGAGCAATAGGATGCCTGTGACCACGGTTACCACATGCACACCTGTGCAAGTGTGAACGGCTCGGAGAAAGGAGCTGTGGCAGATAAAAGGTATTCCAGTTTTCCGTGCCACTCTGCACCGAAATGCATGGCATATGCAATCTGCATAGCTGCACCCATCACTAGGTCTTTATTATTGGGGTAGGGCTTATATTTAACAAATGCATAGAAATCCTGCTGGGGCTTATTTTTGGGATAGGTCTTATTTTGGGGGAAACATGGTACCTCCCAGATATTTTCAGTTCTTAGTCTTCCAACAGGGAAGGTGAGAAGTCGTGAAGAATATCTGAGGCACCCACATCCAAAGTCAAAGCAGGGTCCTCATGGTCCACTGGGCCATGTCCACCCAGCAGTTCTTCGGTAGAGCTCAGAATGTGCTTTCCTATAGAAAATATCCTTTTAAATGTTAAATGGGGCACAAAAGTCTTTTAATCCCTGAGACAACTGACATGCTGGATATTTGTACTGAAAAACAATAAAAGGAAGCAAAAATTCCATAGCACTTAGGCAATGTTAGTCAGAATAAATAATGAAATTGAATAAATATCAATCCTCAAAGAGGTCAGAACAATAGATTTCTAGAGATTAATGTTTTCAAGAGCTTTACAGGTTGATACACTGATTTTTAAAATATAGTTAGGTTCATTTCAAAACCATGCCTTTTTGTCAATATAGAGATTTGATGTATCACTCTTACTTCTCTTACTCTTATTCACCATCATTAAACTCACTTCAGGCAGAAATTGCTTTAGGAATTCAGTTCCTCTTCAAGGGGAAGAGTTAATTGGCCCAAATCTCTTAGAAAAGAGAGATGGGCAAAGAGACTATATATTCACATAAGAGATGTGGTTTGTGGTAGAATTAGCTCAGCTTTGGGCAGCTTTCCAAGCCAGGGACAAGGCATGATAATATGTTTGAATTTTTGGAGAAAAGATGATAGTAGAGAAGGGGGACTGGGTTTCTACCCACTGTGAAATGAGGGGTAGCAGCAGCTCCCAAGGGATGTGGGCAAACACCTGGCGTGTCGCTTTACATGTGGGACATTTGAGTATCAGTCATATTTGTTAACTCTGGTTAATATGTAGATTAAAATGACACAATGCCTGATATAATAGATGATCCCTATGTGAATGAGTTTGACTTTTTTCTGTGTTGTAAAGAGTGAATAAATTGGCCAGAAAAATGTGAAGAATATATTAAGATCTCCTGAAACTCTAGCCTGTAATTTATCATTAAAATTTTATTGTCCTGTGACTATGGCATGCTTATTAATATAGTCCATTTTCTGATTGATTTCTCTGGATTGGTTCTGGGAGGTCTTATGGACTAGGACTAGAGGGTGGATTTTAAAGAGAGTAAGCTCTTGGGCCTCGTGTGGTGGTTCACGCCTATAATCCTAGCATTCTGGGTGGCTGAGGTGGGTGAATTGCCTGAGCTCAGGAGTTAGAGACCAGCTTCAGCTAGAGCAAGACCCTGGCTCAAAAAATAGCCGGGCATTGTGGTGGGTGCCAGTAGTCCCAACTACTTGGGAGGCTGAGGCAAAGAGATTGCTTGAGCCCAAGAGTTTGAGATTGCTGTGAGCTATGACACCATGACATTCTACCTGGGGAGACACAGTGAGACTGTCTCCAATAAAAAAAAAAAAAGAGAGTCAGCTCTTGAGGCAAGTGAGTGAAGGTTAGGAAACATCACTAGGATGGGAAAGTCACCAGCCACTGGCCCAGCTGGATTTTAGAGCTGCAACGGAACCCTGGAGGTGGCTTAGTCTAACTTCTCATCTTGCAGTTGAGGAGATGAGTACAGAGAAGTGAGTCGTCCAGCCTCACACCTGTGGAGAAGCCAGAGACAGCTCACAGCTGTCGCATTTTTACTTTTGCTTTTGAAAAGGAATGGTAACATGTACATATTATATTAATTTGAAAAAACAATCTTTGTATGTTAATTTTACATCAATTTTTTTAATACTTTTGAGTTTGTTTAATTAGATTAATTGAACTAACGGAGCTGCCAGAAATCTTAGAAGGAAATTTGTTACTTGAAAAGAAATCAATCCGGTGGTGCCTGTAGCTCGGTGGGTAGGGCACCGGCCACATACACCAAGGCTGGCTGGTTTGAGCCCAGCCAGGGTCAGCTAAAACAACAATGACAGCTGCAACAAAAAAATAGCTGGGTGTTGTGGTGGGCACCTGTAGTCCCAGCTACTTGGGAGGCTGAGGCAAAAGAATCGCTTAAGCCCAAGAGTTTGAGGTTGCTGTGAGCTGTGACGCCATGAACTCTACTTAGGGTGGCAGCTTGAGACTCTGTCTCAAAAAGAATAAATAAATAAATAAATAAATAAATAAAAATAAAAGAAATAAATCCTCAACTTTTTCCCTACTGTTTCTAGGTTAAGTCACCAAAGAAAACATGGTATTTTGAAGTATGACTAAACTCCTGATGCTGCAGCAGAGGCTAAGAATATTGATGGCCAGATCTAGGTAAGTTGAAATTAAAAAAAAAAATCACTAAATTATTGAAGCTAGAGAATTTAATATGTTTTCCTGAATGTGGCCACTTTCCCTTCTGATTCACTGACACTTCCATCCTCAGAGAAAAAAGAAAAATGGCATTAAACTAAGACATGTTCACTGATTTAAAATATTCAGCTAATGAGTTGCAGATTGAGCTTTCCAAACAGAAGGTAGTTTTTTCATGATTGTACACTAGCTGTTTTTTAAAGTTGCTCTCTTGAGGGAGTGTGATAAAACCATTTGCAGAGTTACCAGTTTGGAGGCTGTGTATGCTGGCAGCACCACCTGGTGGTTCATCCAAGTGTTCATAGTATTAGTGTATGTGGTTAGGCCTCACTTGGCTCAAATGTAGTCTCCAAATACTAATTTGGTGGTCATAAAAGCAGAATACCTAGTATCTAGCCTTTCCCCTTGCCTAGGAGTTTATAGTTCAGGAGGAAGAAACAGATTTGGGTAAAAACTTCACATTTAAAAAGTCTCCTTCCAGAAGTTGGAAGATTGACCACAGCTGCCTATGTCCAGCCGTTTCAGTCCCTTGCTCTCCTGAAGCCTTGTCTCTAGCCTTTGGTCTCCATTTTTCTCCTATTTGTTAGCCCTCTTCTTTCTTTACTTCTTTCCTAATGGGACCTGGTTGTTCATCACTTCAGACTTTGAACTATGTATCAGCACCCTTCAGTGTCTTTGCCGTCCAGCTGCCCTGTGGACCGCTGAGCTCACGGGCAGAGCAGCGTGACCTTGCACAGCAGCCTCGCTGAGTTCTCATCACAGCCTACGAGGTAGCCCTGCTCCTTCTCTGCAGCAGCTCTTCAGGGACTAATCCCGCCCTGCTCAACACCCTCACTCTGTAAGCCTTACCTTCTCTTTTACGAAGGAAGCCCAGGATGACAGGTGTTACTGCTGCAGTGTCTCTCTTAGGTCCCACCATCCTTCTTTCTTCCCTCCCCCCTGTAGACAAAGCCTCCCAGTTTGGACCCTGACACTCATCTTCTCTGTTCTCCCCTTCTGTCTTGACCCATCAGTTAACCTTTTTCTTTCCTTTGTTTTTTTCCTATAATTTTAACCTTTTCTGACCTATAAGCCTGCATATGTCTTTTATCATCTTTAAACAATAAGTAACAGGCTCAGCACCCAGAGCTCAGTGGTTTGGGCATCAGCCACATACACTGGAGATGGCAAGTTGGAGCCCAGCCCAGGCAGCTAAACAACAGTGACAAATGCAACAAAAAAATAGCCGGGCATTGTAGCGGGCCTTGAGGCAGTCTCCTGTATCCAGCTACGTGGGAGGCTGAGACAAGAGAATTACTTAAGCCCAGGAGTCGGAGGTTGCTGTGAGCTGTGACACCACGGCACTCTACCCAGGGTGACATAATGAGACTCTGTCTCAATAAATAAATAAATAAATAACAATAAGTAAAGCAAGCAGCATATTCTTTTGAAGCCATATCTGTCCACACCCTGATGCTTTCCTCTTTGTTTTCTCAGCCAGTCCTTGAAGCTAGTCTTCATCCTCTGGGGCTGTTCCGTGGCCCCTACTTGCTCACTGTCCTCTGGCAGCTGTCTCTACCATGGCACCATCGACAGAGCCTCATCCTGAGGCTTTGTTTCCTTAGTTTGTACTGTTCTGTCTGGTCTTATTTTTCTTTCTCTGGCTTCTCTCTACTCTAGTATTTGAATACATTTGTATCCTCTCAGAATTATTTGTTTTTTTAAAGACAAGATCTTGGTCTGTTGGGTTGGAGTGTAGTGGCATCATCATAGCTCACTGTAACCTCAAAGTCCTGGGCACAAGTGATCCTCCTACTTCAGCCTCCTGAGTAGCTGGGAGTACAGGCACACACTACAGGCTAATTTTTGTATCATTTTTAGAGACAGGGTCTCACTGTGTTGCCCAGACTGGCCTGGAACTGCTGAGCTCATGTGATCCTCTCACCTCAGCCTCCCAAAGTACTAGGATTGCAGGCATGAGCCACTGCGCCCAGCCCGCTCTTCCAGATTCCCACCACAGGACCGCTCTTCGTGCCACCCCTGGGCAGCGTCTTCTCTTTGTGGCTTCAGGTGCTACCTGTGTTCTTCAGTTTGCCTCCTCCCTCAAACCCAGACATGCGAACGTCACCCGATTACACACCTCCACGTGGTGGTTCCCTGGATTCTCAGGTAGCATGGCTAGAACTGAACACATCCGCACCACTTCCCTTGCAGACTTCTGGTTTTTCCTGTCTCAGGTAATGGAACTCGCACCTTTACCTGCCTTGCTGGAAACTGGCCCTTCATTCCATCGTACCAACCCAGCAACTTGGTACCACAGTCTTTTCCTCCTGAATATTCCTTAAATTCATCCTTTTTCTTTTATTCCTACCACAGTTCCTCTGGCTTAAGGTCTTCATTTTATTTATTTATTTATTATTTTTTGAGACAGACTCTCACTATGTTGCCCTCAGAGTGCTATGGCATCACAGCTCACAACAACCTCAAATTCCTGGGCCTAAGTGATTCTCTTGCCTCAGCCTCCCAAGTTGCTGAGACTATAGGCACTTGCCACAACGCCCAGCTATTTTTGTTGTTGTTGTTGTTGTTGTTGCAGTTGTCGTTGTTTAGCTGGCCCAGGCCGGGTTCAAACCCAACAGCCTTGGTATATGTGGCTAGTGTCGTAACCACTGTGCTACGGGTCCCGAACCTGTATTTTATTTTAATAATCCCAAAGTGATTTCTTTTCCTTTAAGCTAAACTCCTACTAAATTTATCCTACAGACAGATATATTTAAAATACACATTTCACTGTCTTACTTTCCTACTTCAAAATACATTGTGGCTTTCCACCACGTGTATAGTAACACGTTTTCTTCTTGGCATGGCACACAAGGCCTCTGTATCATGTATTAGGCATTTTGTTAATTGTTGTACTGAACTGAAATATTCAGTGTGGATGGAAGTCCTAGGTCGGTTGCACCACCTCTCATGTGAGTCATGCATTGCTGACTGACAGGAACATGTACTGAAAACCTCACTGGGAGGCCATGGAGTGAGCATACAGAAACCTAGCCAGGAGAGCTCTTGTTGTAGGCTACAAACCTGTACAGCATGTTTCATGCTAAGGACTGTAGATAGTTGGAAGGTAGGAATAAGTATTTGTGTATCTGAACATAGAAAAAATACAGTATAAAAGAGAAGCCAGGTGCAGTGTTGTGTGCCTGTAGTCCCAGCACTCAAGCTACTCAGGAAGCCCAGGTGGGAGGATTGTTTCAGCCTAAGTATTTGAGACCACCCTGGGAAACAGAATGAGACCCTATTTCTAAAAAAAATTTGAAAATTGTACATCTGTGTAGGACATTTACGGTGAGTGGAACTTGCAGGGCTGGCAGTTGCTCTGGGTAGTGAGTGAATGGGATGACCCAGGTATCCCAGACACTGTTGTAGACATTATAAACTCTGTGCACTTGGGCTGCACTATTTAAAATTCTGTTTTTTCTTTAGTGGTAAATTAATCTTAGTTTACTGTAACTTTTACATTATAAGCTTTTTAATCTCTAAAAAGTATAATTCTTTTGTGATACTTGCTTAAAACAGATACATCATACAGCTGTATGAAAATATTTTCTTTATATCTTCATTCTATAAGCTTTTTTCTATTTTTAAAATTTTTTACTTTATATTTTTTGCTTTTTCAACTTCTTTGTTAAAAACTGAGACTCTGGGCAGCGCCTGTGGCTCAGTGCGTAGGGCACTGGCCCCATATACCGAGGGTGGCAGGTTTGAACCCCCCCGGCCAAACTGCAACAAAAAATAGCTGGGTGTTGTGGCAAGTGCCTGTAGTCCCAGCTACTTGGGAGGGTAAGGCAAGAGAATCACCTAAGCCCAGGAGTTGGAAGTTGCTGTGAGCTGTGACACCATAGCACTCCACCTAGGGCAACAAAGTGAGACTCTGTCTCAAAAAATAAATAAATAAATAAAAACTGAGACTCAAACCCACACTTAGCCTTGGCCTCTACAGCACCTGGTCACCAGTGTCACTGACTTCCACCTTCACATCTTGTCCATCGAAGGTTTTCAGGGACAAAGACATGTGTGGAGTTGTCAACTCCTATGATAGCAAGGTCTTCTGTTGGGATACTTCTTGAAGGACCTGCCTGAGGCTATTTTACACTTTTTTTTTATATAAGTAGGAGTGCACTCTCAAATAAGTAAGAAATATGGTACATTAAATACACATAAGCCAGTAACACCATCAAGCATTATCAAGTTTTATGTACCACACATAATTTTAGGTGCTCCACGCCCAGCAGCACGGCAGGCTATGTGCACCAGCACTGTGGCCTGGCTGTGAGGGACGCATTGCATCACAGCACTGTGACGGCAGCAGCGTCCCGAGTGATGGGACGTTTTCAGCTCCACTGTGATCTTATGGGTGGTATCTTATGCAGTGGTATCTGGGTCTGTCACTGACCAAAACCTTGTTAGAAGCACGTGACTGCAAATCCCTACGGACACGAGAGGCTGTGCCCTGACTTCCCTAACCTAGTGAGGAGCAAGTGGAAAAAGGATTATTTCACTGCCCACTTTGAGAAAGGTTCCTTGCCAGCAACATCTTTTGAGGCAGACGCCATGTTTTAGTAACCTCTTTAGCTGTTTCTTTCTTTCTTTCTTTCTTTTTTTTTTTAATTGCAGTTTTTGGCTGGGGCCAGGTTTGAACCCGCCACCTCTGGTATATGGGGCTGGCGTCCTACTCCTTTGAGCCACAGACGCCGCCCCTCCCCTTGTTACCTATTTAGATTTACAAAGAGGTTCCGGAGAGGATGAATATATAATTTCAAGACTTTCTTTGTGGCTCGGCGCCTATAGCTC